CAGGACCACTTGGTTTACCATCATAGTGATAAAAAACTGCGTGGAAAGGCAGCTCATTTCCGTGAAGCTGACATATGAAATAATGGAGCGGGTAACCAAGTAACATTTCAAGATGATGAATGACTCCATTTTCTGATCCTACATTTACATTGGTTCCATCACAACCAACACACACAATGGGCTGCTGGGTTGGATTTTCTCCACCAGAAACTCGTGAATAGTTTTGGCAATCTGCTTTCCGTGTCCAGTCTTGGGAGTCACATGTGTGAGATATTCATTGCCAGGCTCAACCATGATGACATAATGATCTTTCACCATCATCCTCGTACTCCATTTCTCGGTCTTCTCATTCTTTATCATCACACGAGTGGCGGTCTTCTTACCATCAAAATAGAGTGACGTCAAATTATCTAAACTAGCCATCTCAATTTCTTGCCGCTTAAATCGGTATTTTTGTCTCGCATCCCGCAGCTTATGTGGTCCAATAACCTGACTCTTGTCATCCTTTGTGATAATGCCATAGTCAGTTAAGGTGGCAGTAGCAATGGCAGCTCCAGCATAATCACTAATCAAGTATCGGTCACAAGCGGCAACTTACCCAGGTCTCCCCTACATTACAGTACAGTAACACAACATTGAGAAATGAAATGAGAAAAGGCTGATAATCAATATAGACATAGCACCATACTCATCTGCAACAAGACAACTTAAATGAAATAAGAGATATGAAAAAAAAGTTGATAAACACTGAACAGAGCATTGCACCGCCACAGCGGCTGTTTGGCTAATACTGTAGGTAAATTTAAAATTTTCAGTAGAAAATGCGGCAGATTAAACCTCGACATATCAGCTTCAAATTTGGCATGGAGTCTTAGATATGTATAAGGAACAATGCCTGAAGAGTGCAGCTTTGAGCAAAATTTCACTGCCCCCTACTGCAAACCATAGAGAACATGTCTTTCTTGCTTCTGTTTCTACTCATCACCTCCCTGCTGACCACCTGAGCTCGGATGTAGCCTTCCCTCCTCTCCTGGCTGTACACGTGACTGCTGGCCTCGCTCACTTGCTGTACACAACGCTCTATACTCTGGGTGTGCGAGGGCCAGGCAGGGACATGCATGGGGTTGTCCAGGAAAGCTCTGACTTGAACATTGGTGAGGCTGCAGGTAAGAGGGGCTCACTGCCAGCCTGGATGTTATCCAGATCTATGAGATCAGTGAGGGTCTTGGCACCTAGATTGACTTCAGGAGTCTTCCTGACCCTGAAGGAATCGTCACCAACTGATTCGTCATGCCCAGATCCTCTCATAAGTCTCATATCCAAGATCTTTTTGACTGCCACTCTTCTCTCCTCCTCATCCTTACTACAGAGCATTGTCTGCAGAACTGCCTCGGGATGAGCATACCAGGAAGATCTCCTCACAGTCTGCTCCACAATCTGAACAACCTTCCTTGGCTGACTCCTCAGGAGCTCAAGCTGGAGAGAACATGCCTCGGACCTTCGGAGAACGATGACTTGACCTTGGTGTTGAACCAATTTGGCAAGTAGACACTCACGATGAATTGGACAATAAGTCTCAGGTTGTGAAGCTGGTTCCCTTTCAGTTTATGATGAGCGACCCAAATTCTGCAGAACCTGAGAGCCGTTGTGAGCCACCTAGAATGTGAGACTGGACCTATCTGCAGGTAAGCAAGTCTATCAGGCATGACCCCAGTTTTGATGGCACTGCAAATCATGTAACCATAGTACTGGTCAGTACTCAGGTCGTCAATGACAGTATGTGCAAGCTCAACGAGTGGAGGGCCAACTGTGATTTTTTTCAAAGCTCGGATTTATTTCTAACTCAGTGGCAGAGTCCAGCATCTTGCCAAGAGGACCAGACCATCTGTTGTTTGAAAGAGTCTTGCCATCCAGCTCCTGGATCAGATGTCTGAGTGGCAACTCGTTGGTGTGGAGGTCACAAACAATCCAGACCAGCTTCCTCCCAATCTTCCGCTCTATCCACTGTATGACCCCCCTTGCCACCCTGTGTTCGTGTTGGTGCTGTCCCCTCCAATGGCCTGCAGGGTCTGGTCTACGTTCCTCTCTCTGAGCCAGTTCACAATGTTATCTGCCACTATCTCAGCTGGTTTCCTGATGTCATCTTTCTCTGGAGTGAAATGCCACAAATACTTCCCTCCTGGTTCACTGCAGCAGGAGTAGTGTTCCTCCTTCACCATGGCAGGGAACAACTTGTCAGAATCTCCAACTTTCATGAACACTTTAGTGTCATCCCTCTCCCATCCCATCAAAGAACAAACAATTGATTCCATTTTCTCTTATCCCCTTATCAAACTCCTCTTCTAGGTTACTGACAAGTTTCTCCTGAGCTCTCCTTACTTTGTTATGATCTATTACCAGGTGAACATCATCAGGTGTTATCAAACCACCGCCAATCCAGGCAGCTGTTGCTATCTCTGCAGTTTCTTCTGAGACCAGTGTGGTGTCGCATGCTGGCCAGAGCTATGCTCGGATATCTTTCCTATTTCGAATCTTATGCCTGGAAGGTTTGGGATCATTATTTTCTGGGTTAGGGACAAAGTCACTATTCTCCTGGTCAGCACTCGGATCAGCCATGGGGAAGTCATTAAACTCTGAATCAGCTTGACTCCAATCATCGGCCTTTTTTACCTCACTCTGGGCCTTCTCAAGTCTCTTTTCCTCGGCAACTCTTCTCCTCTTCTGTCTCTCTGTGGCAGCCTCCTGTCTCTTGGACTCCGGAATATCTTGGCTAGAAATCATGAGAGCCCCTATACTGCCAGTCTTCTCTCTCTGTGCTTTGACAAATGCCAGTTCGATCACAGGAATCTTCAGTTCACGCTTGCAAATACAGGAGATGTGGGCCTCGGATTTACAGTCACGATCGCATCCAAACTCAGGACAGAGAACAATTGGGCACTTGCAAGTAATTATGTCAAATAACTGGTCCAGTTGTTTCTGGCAAAGCTGTCCTTAACTGCAAGTTTTTCCCTCTCCCAAGAGAGATATCTCTGCCTTTTCCCAACTGGCTAGCAGTCTCTCACTAATCTTCTTCTGACTTGTTATGACTGGAGGCTTGAACCTGAGCGTTAGCCAGAGTGTACTGTGCCAAGACAGCTTTGGTCATATCACTGGCAATGTCTTTGTTTGTGCAAGTTCTTTGGTTCTTTTCACTGATTTGCCTGATTAAAACACCGTATCTCAAAGCATCTCTCAATGTAGGTAACTCCGACTTCAGGAGCTCTCTCCCAGACCCAAGATAGTGACTGAGATGGCTGGATTTTTGGTTCCTCGTCCTGACACAAGCAGCCATTGCAAATATTATCAACTTATAAATGCATCAGAATCTGAAACAGAAAAAAATATTGTTAGTTGGGTTGTTAAAGAATGAAGTCAGAAGCAATGTTCACTATTTAATTGTAATGCACTCACGTGCCAGTATCGTTAGATTTTCGATAAATTTCACGCTAAAATTTACCTAGCAAAAGGTTGCAAAATATTGAAACTGAAATTATTTTCTGTTTATATACACTAAAATCTACCAAAAAAGTGATGGGCCATTAGTTTTAGCTGATCTTCCCTCCTATGACACACCCTATTGGCGCGGGGTTATGCAGTGTTTACAGTTCACGTTCGACATCACATGTTCAATTCATTTGTGTTTTGTTTGTGAAGAATTGCAGAAATAATTAATGTAATATTTATGTATACAGTATACCTGTACAGTATATGTAAATTGTAAAATTTTAAATAAGAGAGAAAAACAAAATACGTAGCGTTTTAGACCCGTGCGCTCTGTTTACACCACACGTTCAGTTTGAAACACGTGTGACGTTTTTAAGCGTCCTCAGTGATATTTGATTACTGTTTCTCCAATTTTGTGACTTTGGAAAAGAAGAATATCTCTGGGAAGCGTTCTGGTGATCGCATTTCCGGTGGTGATCGTAAAAGAAAGGCTATAACACTTGAAGAAAAGCTTGATGTTGTCGATTGTCTTGAAAATAAGGAAAGAACATGTGATATTGTGCGTGCAACGGGAATAAAGGAGTCTACTTTACGCACCATTAGAGACAATGCAGCAAAGATTAAAGCGATCTGGGACCAGCTTCCTCACCATTAAAAAGAAAGCCTTATCAATATATGAGGACCTAAAGAAAAACTGCGCCTGATGATGATGACGACGTTGACAACTGTCAAATCTTGTCTTCATGACTCCTCAACGTCAACATTAACCTTCTCCCCCGTAAAGTTATATTCATATTTTTTCAAGGTAAGGTGTAACATTTGCTGTATGATTTCATTATTAGATATGAATGTAACATTTATTTAGACTGTGCTATCCTTTGTGTTAGGCTAACTATGAAATTTTTTTCGATTTCGAGTAATCTGCACCTAACCCTATTTTCTCCAAAAGCCCTGTTATTTCTATTACGCGAATTTCTATAACACGGTTTTACAAGAACACAACTATCGCGTTATAGCAGAACTGACTGTATTGTAATGATTTCTCTGCAACTTTTATAGTTTTATTACATGTAACAGTATGTGAGGCTGTTGGGCTGGCAAGTCGGTGACACGGTTACAGCCCACCATCTCTACACATGTTCAGTTCCCACACACACACGACCCTGCTCTTCGTATTTATTATTCATCGTTTTATATTATATTTACTTTATTTCTTAGCCAGTGTTGAAGAAGTTTGTTTATCTGAGACGAGTTTGTGAGGTCAGCCTGTAGCACTGTGTATTTTAGGATTTATTGGGGGATCCTAAGAGTGAGTTTCAACTTAAAAGAAAATCTCTATCTGGCACCTCTCAATCCCCCATAAGTGCCTCACAACCTGGGTTCTACTGTGTTTGGGAAAGATCCTGCCACAAAAAGTGTTCACAGTTTAATAATACAGTTGTTAAGGGAAGCAGGTCAGATTTCCGACATTTGTAAGGCCTATTAGACCTATTATTATAAGAATTTTGTTCCTACAGATTTTGGGGTCTGAAATACCTGATATTGATTGGTGCCATCATTGGGGCCTTCTTCATCCCAAGAGGAGAGTTTGGACAGGTTTGGATGTACTTTGGCATGATTGGAGGATTTCTCTTCATCTTGATTCAGTTGGTCCTCATCATTGACTTTGCACACTCCTGGGCAGAAGCCTGGGTGGACAAGTATGAGGAGACAGAGAGCAAAGGATGGTACGTACTTTTTCACCGGTATCAAGCAAGTAAAGTGCCCTCAATTATTTTCCTTTTGAAATTTATTTGCTACTGAATTCACTAAAGATTTGATACCAATATGTCCTCTTTAACTCCACCACTGTTTTACTGTAATAATAAATACTTGTATAACATGATGTGTATACCCATGATGTTGTCATCATGATCTGTCGGTGTCCTCTTTATTGGGTGCCCAGGAAGACCTTCCTTTTCTGATGCTTCTGACTTGAGCTCCCTAAAGCATCAGAAACAGGAACATCAGCCTCTGTATTTGTAAGGGCTAAGTTCTTTAAACATCTTGCAAATGCAGAATTTGTGAATGTTGGTTTATTGGGAAAAATGAGATTAGGTTTGTGGATCAGACTTGAACATTGGTGGGGGGAGGGGCACATATATGTTATCACTAAAGAGACCTTACTTGTTAATCAGTCAGCACAGTACGGTAAGTGATGCAGTTGCCACATATTGTGATAAGATGAAATTAAGAATATAATTACCCACTCATCTGATGGTTACACTGTACACACAAGCCAAATACCAACATGTGTGTACATCCCTCTCACTGTTGGTGATAAGTGGGTGGCAGTGCAGGGATAAGGTGATTAGCTTGCAAACTTTTTAATATTGAAAGTTAATTAGTCACAAATCAGTACAATTACAACTTGAGTATGGATGATTTCATGTGTATGAATTTGGCCAGATAATATTTTGAAAGAAAAGACAATTGTTTTGTGGTTATATACTGTGAAACTGTTAGTATAACATTTCTCACTTATTGCCTGTACTGCAGCCTCAAACTGAACTGGTGTTTCTTGTCCATTAAGATATTACTAAAAATTCTTCTGGAAGTATAAATGGAGGTTCACAAATTTAGAATACAATTTTGTTTGTGAAATGCCCAGCTCAACAGTTTGAGCAGTAAATCATATGTATTATACTCTAATAATACTGTATATTGTTATTTCAGGTACATGCTCTTATCTTCTTCACTTTCCTCAACTATGCCGTGGCCATCACTGCTGTTGTTCTCTTCTTTACTACTACACAACTGTAAGTTTATGTTTGTCCTGTTTAGAATTCAGATCATTCCTAGAGTTCACAACAATTGCTCCCAAATGAATAAAACAAGATCCATCTTTAGTTCTGCTGTTCTGTTACCTTGAGTCTGAAAACTGCCGTCCAGGAAGCAGTTGTTCAGACTCGAGGTGAGTTATAACTTGTTAAAAAGTGTTTTAAAATGTTGGGATTAATGTTGAATTGAGAAAAAGTGGTGTATTAGGGAATGTTTTGGGGCCGTGCTCTCAAACAGGTGTAACACATTTCAATTTAGCACAACAAATCTTGGTCCCACTCTTGTGTTAAATCAGAAATTCATATTTGCGTGTGTTGTAAAGATAAGATTCCTAGTTTAATACTTCAACTGACAGTTATGGATTAGTATAAGACATTTCCATGTAGTTATAGTATAAGACATTTCCATGTAGTTATAGTATAAGACATTTCCATGTAGTTAAGGGTTAACTCTAGCTGCCTGAAAAGTTATCATTTTTTCTCAATTTCAGACTGAGAGTTGCAGTCTTCACAAGTTCTTCATCTCCTTTAACTTGATTCTGTGTGTGATCATCAGTATCTTGAGCATCTTACCCAGGATCCAGGAGTCTCAACCTCGTTCAGGACTTTTGCAGGTACGAGTATTGCTGCTGAAGGTGGCATATCTAGAATAAACTAACTTAGCACCACTAAGACTACTTTTACTTGGTGTCAGTTTTTATAACCCATGAATCTTTACAGGTGAAATGTAAGAGAACCCTCCCACTAAGCACCCTCTTTGAGTCCTTTGGAGAAGACCAATAGTTTAATGGCAGGTACACTATCCAAACTGATTGAGCAGCTAGATGACATTTTCTTTCCTGGAACACTAATGCACCATGTGATTCAGGTTCAATTAGATTTTATAGAACTTAAATTTTTTGCTGTTTGGTGAATTACTTTGTATTAAGTTGCTGATCATCCCAACGGGACTGATGTAGCTACTCTTATGTTGTTTTTTAGACACCCAGTTCTCATCTACTGTACAGTACCCAGAAGTATTATTCATGTGCCAGGATATAATTCAAAATGTGAGCCAGACCTCTCCTCCCTTCCTTGTAAGGGAGGATAGGTGGAGGGAGTGCCTTTGACTGACCAGATGATCTGGGGGATCTTCTGGTGGTTGGTTCATTTACAGCATCCTAAAATTAGGATCCTGAGGCCTTTCAAGTTGTCTCAGAAGGTTTAAGATAGAAGATGGAGGAGCTGTGTAGTACACCCATTTCAAACCACAAAGATTAATTGATGAAGTGTTTTTTTGTGGCCGATATATTTTTGAAAAATATTATTAAATAAGGGCAGATCGGGGGGGGGGTCAGTCCTGGGGGTCTGGATCCCTCCCTTTTCATCAGAAAATTCCAATAGTTTTTCTTTGTACTTAGGCATTTTTGTATAGTAAAAAGTAATTACATCTTCTCCTCGACTTGTGACCACCTGGACATACGACCGCCCCAATCGTACCCAAAAGTTTTCAAATTACGTATATTTGAGTCCCGACGTGAGTGATTGCGCTGTGTACTGACAAAATTTTCGGTTGTAATTCCCTTTAAAATGGCTGGCAAGCTTAAAAGTGAGAGTTTTGTGGTGCTGAGAAGAAAGAGACACCCATTTTAGATTTTCTATGTATTATCTTCGCATTTTCGACTTAGACCAATTCGACTTACGACCTGGATTTGGGTCCCTAACCCCATCGTAAGTCGAGGAGTGACTGTACTATTAACCTCAGAATATCTCCTAATATCAAGTGCACATGGCTTCAAAATGACCTCAAAATGCCCATGATATTGTTCAGGTTTAAAAAAAATTCAGGGGAAACTCGCAGCCCCCCCCCCCCCTCCCTCTTTTTTTTATTCCTGGATTTGCCCGTTAGACTATTAGACAGAAGTCATTTTAGGTCAAGACATTTCCATGTTTGTCATCTTCAAAAGGATTGTGAAATAGGTTTAGGCTTTAAAGTAGGAGAACATTCAAAATCCTGATAGTCTTATTATTTTAGGATGACCAAAAGTAGAAAGAACATTCAAAATCCTGATAGTCTTATTATTTAGGATGACCAAAAAGTAGGAGAACATTCAAAATCCTGATAGTCTTATTATTTTAGGATGACCAACATTAAATGGGTGAGATGGTGTAAGCATATAGGCTAGTAAATTCAAGTCACCTTTTGAAGTCCTCACTGAACTTTGAATTAACAGCTGGTTCAAAGGGGATCTGATTGACCCAGAATCAACTGGCTGGCTGCTTTATCTTTTTGGATTACAATATGTGCTTCACATTAAACTATGAACCTTATCCAGAGAGCATAGAGAAGGGTCATTTTCACTAGCAGGTCACTTACTTCCCTCTTCAATTTTAAAGACTACATTCCATATGGTTATTCCAACAACTATACAGTGTGTGTTTTTATATATATATATATATATATATATATATATATATATATATATATATATATATATATATATATATATATATATATATATATATATTTTGATGGTCTCCCTATCCGAAACTTTAAATGAGGCATTTCGGAATTTTCGGTTTTCAGAATGGTTAGGTTTTTTTTTTTTTTTTTTTTTTTTTTTGTATTGTTTCACCCGGGCACAAGTCACTGACCCGCCTGGGGGTCGAAAATATAATAACAATTATAATTATAATAATAATAATAATTCATAGGTCTAGGTTGTGTTTTTCACTTGTATCTTTTTTCATTCTTGTATTTCTTTATTATTATTATTATTATTATAAATTTTATTATATTTTATTATTATTTTTGTTATTATTTTATTTTGGTGTATTTTTAATTAAAATTTTTCTTTACTGTGAATAATTATTATTATAATTAGTATTACTATTACATTTTCGCCCCCCAGGCCCCGATGTGGGTCAGTGATCTATGCCTGGGTGGGCTAATCCCTGTTTAAAAAAAAAATAAAAAAATTGCCCCCACAAAAAAACTTTCGGTTTTCAGAGCTTTTCGGTTTTCGGAATTTCGGATAAAGGGTTGTCAACCTGTATATATATGAAATACACACACACAGTAGAACGTCGTTATAACACAAGAGAGGTCGCTTTAAATTGAATTCGCACTAAATTGAAGTGTTGCTTCAATGGAATAATTTAGTTTGGTACAGTACTTGAGAGAAACAAAAATACCCTGCACTAGAAAGACTGAGAGTCTACCCAGATGAGCCTCAGCCCATCTCCTAGAATAAACAAAACATTGTTTTTTGTAGTACAGTATTATGTTAAAAAAAACACTCCAATCAACACACAGCTAAAATTATTGGATGTGAAATGGTCTGTCTACTGGCTTGGAAGATGGGGGGAGGGAGGTGATATGTTTGAGAGTGATGCCAAGGTCTAGTGCTTATTTATTTATCTGTCCTTAAGAGTGACTTAAAGTTTTTCTCTTCTAAAATGTCACTGAACTGACCTGGGAGAATATAATTAACATTGCTGGAATTCTTATAAGATAGTTATTAGTTTGAATATAAACATGCTATAGTTTGCATTTGACATAAAAATTTTAGTTAAAATTAATTTTATACAAAGGGCTAAAAATTTTATCTCGTGCAAATTATGACGTTTATATTCAAATTACTCGCTGTCTTGCAAGGATTCTAGCAATGCAAATTATATTCTCCTAACTTTAGTCTGTGATATTATATATGTTATTATATAAGATAAAAACTTAAAGCCTACTGTATAACCACCAAACCCTGGCTGGGAGGGAGGGAGGGGGGCAGGGGAGGTGACTGTGACATGTTTGACAGTTGGCGCCAAAGGTCTAGTGAAGTATTTATTTGTTTATTTATGTCCTTTAGATTGAGTTTTTGTTTTTGTTTATAAAATGTCACAGAAGTGACCGGGGAGAATATAATTTACATTGCTGGAAATCTTATAAGATAGTGATTAATTTGAATATAATCATGCTATAGTTTGCACTAGACAAAAATTTTAGTAATCATTTAGTACATTATTTTGAGTACATGTACAGTACAGCTTTGCCCTTAGGACAGTGTAGTGTGCCCAGAAAAACATTAGGTGCAAATTTTTTAATTTGATGCACCAGATTGACTCGAGCAAAATAGGAAAGATTCACTTTAAATTAAAACATTGTCTTTAATTGTGGGTGTCACTTTAAATCAATAATCTTAAATTGAATCTCTTTAAATCGACATTCTACTGTGTGTGTATATATATATATATATATATATATATATATATATATATATATATATATATATATATATATATATATATATATATATATATATATATATATATATATATATATATATATATATATATATATATATATATATATATATATATATATATATATATATATATATATATATATATATATATATATATATATATATATATATATATATATACACACACACACACACTTTTATTTTTTTATGCGTGAGCTATATTATCAACACACCAACTTTAATATTTTTCTTCTTGGCATTAATGACTGAAGTTTAACTAAGTAACAATACGTAACTT